CCCACAGAATGAGATTCCCCAGGACGTGGAGTCTAAGTCCCAGCCTGCCTTTTCACCAGAGCCCCTGATGGTGGGGATGGACTTGGTGCAAGACTGAAACCAGGTCGCGTTCCCCGAGTGCACCCAACTGTGGTAGAGGGGTCCCGCTGAGGGTAGGTGTCGGGGTGAGCCTGATGTGAAGAGGCTGACAGGTCCAGGACCCGTGCGGGATGGATGGATGACAGTCAGGAGTAAGCGTGGTCAGACTAGCCGAGTCGGTAACGGTGGAGGCAGATCGGTATAGAGCAGTAGGCGAAAAGTAACCGGGTCACGAGCCAATGTTCAGCAACAGGAGGTCCAATAACAAAGGGGCAGGCAGAGGAATAGTCAGGGATGAGCCAGGGATCAGAGCAGGAGAAGGTCAACAGGAATCAGGACAGACAGGGTCGGCAACTAGGAACGCACTTCAGGAAACAGGTAACAGGAACTAGACCTTGCGGCAATCTGATCACCTCCTGGCTAGTTTAAATGCGTGAGTGCGCATGCGCGGCCGCAATTGCCGCCGCAGGCGCCCAGGTCCTAATGCCTGCACATTGGTGCGCCTGGGCAATCTGCGCACGCGCAGACCCGTGTGCCGCGGCGAGACCCACGGTCCCTGACACCATGCATCTAGCAGAAGGCGAACTTCCGGTTCTAGAAATAGGTACCTGTCAAAAGTAGGTATCCCGCCCCCCCCCCCCCCAAAAAAAAGGTCACTACCACTATTGCCTTTTTTTTAATGTTATTGAGTTGTTCTCCGCTTTAAGGATAAGATCGAGAGAACACTTCACAAGCTTTAAAAAAGGATTCCATAACTAAAGCCTTTTCAATCGTTACACATATGTCGTTGGGTTTGAGCTGCACCTTTTTTTTTTTTTTTGTTTTAGAGCCGATGGTCGTCTCTCTTGTAATAGCAATTGGAGCAGCTAACTAGCTGCTTGATTGCTATTAAAAGCAATGGGAGGGGATGCCCCCTCCCGCCACCTTACATGGCTTTACACGTCCCACCGGGAGTCTAGATCGACCAGCCGGCTTCTGACAGCCAATCAGAGAGTCGAACAAAGATTGGATATGATATACTAATTTGGAGGCGATGGCCCTAGATCCCTTACAGTTTACTCGGAAATAAACAAAGCATTTTTGATCACATCGACCTCAACGTCAATAAATGCTTTTACGGGCAGAAGACGGATTTGGGGTCTTTTTGGCCCAAGATCTCTCCAGAAAGAGTACCTGTCACATGCCTATTACTGTCACAAAGGAAGTTTACATTCCTTGTGACAGCAATAAAAGTGATCAGAAAATGTTTTTTCTTTTTTTACCTTTTGCCGCCCAGGCCAATAACCGTTTGGCGGCCGGCAAAATTCCTCAGCGTTCCGGGTGGACGCCATATGGCGTCCTCCCGGGCATGCGCAGATTGCGCGCCTGCAGAGCCGCGCAGCGGCGTGCTCTGTCACAGTCCGGGTACTTCAGACACGGCCGATGACAGATCTGAGTACCGGCCCTGTTGCTGGTACCATGTGACCTGCTGTGACCAATCACAGTATGTCACAGACAGTTGTATACAATGGATGGTCATGCCATCCACAGCTGTGATTGGTCACAGTGATCACATGCACAAGCTGGGCCAATCACAGCCCAGCTGTGTCATGTGATTAGCCATGGCCAAATCACAGCTAAGCACAAAAAAAAAAAAAAAAAAAAACCTGAATCAATCAATGTCATTCAGGTAAATGCTTGCTTATAGCAAAGTAATTCTTTGCTATAAGCAAATTGTGTTAAAAAAAAACAAAAAAACTGATCACTTCCCCAAAGTAGTACACTGTTACTGTGGTAACATTATACTACTTTGGTCATAGTGAAATATGAAAAACAAATCTTAAAAAAAAGAAAAAAGTAATAAAAAATTTTAAAATAATAAAAAAATTAAATGTTTTTTTTCATACTGTCACCAGTCAGTGTCCTTGATCACCGCCATGCCAGTTATATGATGACGCTGTACTGCACTGGTGACAGTATGTAAATAAAAAAGTGAAAATAATTTTTTAAATTTTCAGAAAAATTATGACAAAAAAATACAACTTCAAAAAATTTGCCATGCCTCTTATGAAGTACGTTGGACTGTCTACTTTGCAAAAAGGGGTCATTTGGAGGATATCTGTACTGTTCTGACTTTCTGGCACCTCAAGAATTAGGATGGTCATCAGTACTTCAGGATTGATCAATTTTCAGATCTATACCATAGTTTGTGAACTCTATAACTTTCCTACAAACTAAAAAATACATCCTAATTTGGGTTATTTTCACCAAAGACATGTAGCAGTATACATCTCGGCCTAAATTTATGAAAACAATTATTTATTTGCAAACTTTTATAACAGAAACAAAGAAAAACTTGGTTTTTTTTCAAAATTTTCAGTATTTTTTTGTTAATTTAGCAAAAAATAAAAATCCCAGTGGTGATTAAATACCACGAAAAGAAAGCTCTAGTTGTGTGAAGAAAATGATAAAATTTTAGTTTGGGTACAATGTTGTATGACCACGCAATTGTCATTCAAAGTGTGAGAGCGCTGAAACCTGAAAAATGGCCTGGGAGGGAAGGGGGTAAAAGCGCCCTGTATTGAAATGGTTAATGGATAAACATGAGAGAGGAACACCCTAAATGAATTGGGACTTTGAAGGCATAAATATATAAATTGAGAGTACAAAAAGTACAAACTCTTTAGTCAAATTTTCACAATATGACAAACTATTCAAGATCATAGTGTAACATCACCGTCAAAACTGATTGTTTTGTAAACATTATATGATCATATATAGTTAGCTATTTTAAAAAAAAAATACATATTGTGACGTCACCATCAACACATATAGTTACAGAGACAGTTTCTATAAATCCAATGTGTTTCGAAGTGACTTCACACCTTCCTCAGGGAAAGAAAATAACTGCATAGTAGTGACATCATCTACAAGATTGAACATATATTTATTTGAAACATTGTTTATATCCCTGACAGTATATAAAGTTTATATCCACTGACAGTATATAAAGTTTACTAAACAAACAATTTTGACAGTGATGTTACACTATGATCTTGAATGGTTTGTCATATTGTGAAAATTTGACTAAATAAAGAGTTTGTACTTTTTGTATTCTCAATTTACATATTTATGCCCTCAAAGTCCCAATTCATTCAGGGGGTTTCTCTCTCATGTTTATCCTACATTCTGGGGACGTCGGCTATTCATCAGGAAATTTTCCCTTTTTTTCTTCTTTTTTTTTTATGCGACAGTGTAAAAAAAAAAAATTTTTTTTTATAAAAATAAAAATAAAGTGATCATCCAACACGTGAGGTATCACCATGAATGTCAGATCACATGCAGTATCTCTAGCACCAGACCTCCTCTGTAAATCTAAATTGGTAACCGAAAAAAGCTTTTAGACCTTTTCTAGCAAAAAAAATACTGATTACAAGCAAATAGTGCCAAAAAAGGCTTGGTCTTCAAGCGGATCCATATCCCCAATATTTGTTTATTTGTTCTTCCAAAATAGGTGTTATACTTAGTGAGCACTAGGGGGAAGCAATCAGCTGATTAACTATGGTTTTGCAGTAGCGTTTATCCACCCAGTGACATTATACATTTTATATAATTTTTAATTTATGTATATTTTTTCCAAACGTTATAGTTTTAATAATTTTAATTTGTTTATATCATGTTATTTATAAGTATATTGTTTAAATTTGTAATTGGAAGTATTGCCACCATCCTGCCATGTGTGTACACTTCACACACAAGGACATCAAGGTCTTAATGTTGGAGAGTGGTGTCCCAAGATGGATTAAGGGCAGTGTTGGGTGTAGCAGAAGGAGTTTAGGTGTATATAATGAGTCCAGAAAGAGCATTCCTGAAGAGGCCCTGAGAGGGGCGAAATCTATGTATAATGCATTTATGGTTCTGGTGATGTCACATCTGGCCCTGGAATGCAGGGGTTGGGCGCAAAGAATTGGATCTCCAGGAGAACTTTCACAAAGGCCATTTCTTCCCATCCATGTAGAAGTCCATGTGAAATATCAAAAAGCTGGATGAGACTCATAGTCGTATGGTTATAGGGTCAAAACCCTCTGGTGAGTAGGGAATCACTTTCAAGGGGACACAGTGCACGTGAGTTGCTGAAAAAATGAAGTAGGAGAGCTGCAGGATTCACTATTTAGGCACGGAGGACAAGGATGCGTGATTTGTACAGCACTTTATAAAAATTGCACAATATATGGATTTGTATTCTTGGAATAGGTGACGTGTGAAAGAAGCAGCTCTACTAACGATACTTGATTGAGCACTTTTATGTTAACTGTATGCCATTATTGTCAATTTCTATGTTATTTTTGTTTTTTCAATTAATTATTCTTTGGTGTTACACACAGTTTATATTTATTTTATATATATATATTGGGTATAAGGACAGCACTGTCAATTTGTCAGTTTTTAATTCTTGCTTTGCATATATTTATAGAAAGGCTGCTCTTCATGCCTATATTGCACCTTAAGATACGGACAGATATACACTGCAGGAATGATATACAGTACATGATCTATTCTTTGTTACATCTCATACCTGTTTTTGAGATTTTTTGTGTCACTCATAATTATCTTTATTACTAAAATGAAATGATCTAAAAACACACTTAATTGTTAGTGTGTTTCTGTAGGCATACTAAAAGTTGAAAACATGACCTGTTCAGATGCCCTGAAAGAAATGTGTGTTGGGTAATATTCCATCAACACATTATATTTCTTGACCATAAAATAATACATTTTTACTAGTTTTACTAATTTTTACCAAGTTTTACTAATTTGGTCTTGTACAGGGCAAACATTAATCACTGTATACATTCTTGCTAGCGTGAAAGTACAAAGACTGGTTTTGTGGGAGAGATAATAGCAACACTTACAAAATATTCAGTTTTAACTTCACTACTTACCTATAGCTTTAGTATAATGTCTTGCACCAAGCAACAACTCTGGAGCTCTGTACCAAAACGTAACCACAACTGGATCCAGGTCTGCTAGTGGTTTCAATGGAGAATTGAATAATCGAGCAAAGCCCATGTCAGCTACAACAAAAATAAAACATTTTACTTAACTCCAGACCTGATAACAGAAAGGGTTTATGACTGCTTCTGCTAGACTTATATCAGGAAAAAAGTGGACATAGACTTTGTCTTGCTGAGGTTGATAAATAAAGGGGTGAAATACTAACCTTTGCAGTAAAAAATGCTGATTTAGGCTCCGTTCAGTTATAGTCATGTAACCAAAAACTTAGGTAGCTTTGTTTAAGGGGATGATCAGCCAATCTAAACTGATCATCTTCTCTGAAAAGTTCTCTTTGCCAAATGCCTAGGCGTGACCATTACAAGTGGAAGCCCAGGACCAGCACTTTTTAGACGTTTTATGCATTCACTCTATCATTCAGTTTAAAATCTTTTTATCTACATACTGTATTAATTTAGTAATGGTTCTGAGTCAACTGCATCTTACAGATAGCAGGGGAGGCATGGCCATAAGTATTGTTAAATCCAATAAACCCAAAGGGAGGGACATGCTATTGCATACAATTACTGAAAAAATACAAAAGAAAAAAAGGCTCAAAGACAGCAAACAATTTCATATTGGCAACTGGTAATAAATATTTGGATTTGATTGGAATGGCAAGTTTTTGGGGTTTTTTTTGCTTTTTTTTAAGCAGAAATAACATTTATTGAGGTACGTCCATTGAACATACATGAGAACAGACACAAATTAAAACAATTAAGTGCATTCCAAGGCATTAAGGTAAAACACAGATATAAGAAAAGAAAACAATACCCTTAAGCAATTAAATCAACAGCCGGTCCATAACTAAGTCAGTAGGTGCAAAGCCTGGAACTGCTAACCAGTCTTCTCATAGTTTGTTGAATTTTCCTGGACAGCCTCTGTGTTGGAAAATAATTGGCAAGTTGTTTTAAATCCAGACGATCGACCCCATTTTCTTTGCATTACCTCTAATTTTATTGTCCTCTGTGTACTGTTTAGCAGTGTTCATCACAACTAAATCTGTAATTTCTTACAATCCCTTTACACTTGGTGTGTTGCTTTAACATGCGTTATATTGTGCATTAATGCATATTGTGTTGAGACAACATGTTCATTTGAATGAGACTCTAGCATCTGAACAAAGTACTTCTACTTTTATCCTCTGAAGCAGTGCACCATAACAAATGGTAGTATATTACTGTGCAAGAAGGTGTGCTGCCAGGCATGTTCATTGTGGCACTGTGTTGGGGTGTGACTTTTAATGAATGCTAGAGGAGCGCACCAACACGTGTAAGGTGCATTATCACAATGCAGTGTTGTAAAGTCAGCATTAAACTTCTAGGCTTGGTTCACACTGTTCTATGTGTAATAAAGCGCAAGTGGTAATTGGTAATGTGGAGAATTTGGCCATATTATTTACCTTTCAAAAACACTAAACTGCAGCACATAGAAGTGAACCAGCAACATAAGAAAGAATGGAATTTATACTTCTACAGTAAAATGAATGACTTTTTGTGCATAAAAAGGGCACGTGTGAATAGGCCCTTAAACGTAAATGTCCTAACAGCTGTTATCTCAAAATTCTGCCATTACTTTCAAAAGCCATTTAACTTAGTCTGTGTCCCTCTCTCATTTAGTTTTTCACTTTGTAAAGGGCATGATTTTATTTTTTAGGCTAGGTTTACACTTACCAGCCACTCCCCCTTAAGCTGCAAAGGCAACAGAGGTGTACATAGACCAAATGTATTCCCCGTCACATTCCTTGGGCAGTACCACCTGCAAAACATGACTTATTCAACTGAATGAGGTCATGACACAATCGTCACATGGTGGTGTGGGTTTCAAGGGGTTAAAACAGACAGTGCAAAGGTGATATAACACTCACTCACTGTCAAATGCACTCCGAAAAGCGATTCACTGAGAATTGCTCTTCAGAAGGTGACACCCGTGTAAATGATCCCTAATTCTTACCCTGCCAGTGCTGTTTCACTATCCAAAAAAGGAAATGGGAAAAGCAGCAGAAGGAACTTATTTTAACAAATAGTAGTCGGTTTAGTAGTAAACTATAGTACAGTACAACAGTGCTGCGTACAAGAGTCATTTATTTTAGCCCAGGTCAGCTAAAGTAGAAAAAAACACAAGTATCAACATTGCTAGTAAAACCCCCCTGCCAGTGCATCCAGGATCAGAAGAGTGTTGGCAGAAAAAAACTCCTGACGCTGCTAAAAGCACCTAAATGCGTTTAAATGCGCCTAAACGCTAGGTGCGTTTAGCACTTGAGGATTTATTCATTGTAATAGCCAGAATAAATTATTATCCTGGCCAACTAATTGAATTTAATGCCCAAGCTCTTGAAGCCTGTAAACATGCCTAAAAGCTTGTAAAAAAGCTTGACACTTTTACAAATGTTAGTCTTTTTTTCTTACAAATGTCAGGCTTTTTTTCTGCCAAATTGCCACTGCAAAGAAGAAAGACTCCTAGGAGAGTTTGCAAAACGTCCTCCCTGCATGAGGCCTAAAGAGAGCTAAGGCTTGTTTATTAAAGCACAGCCTTACAAAAAATGGTGAAAACTGGCTGATGAAGAATAAAGGTAATCTAGGAAACATTCTCTGAGCTCTAAAGCTACTTTCACACTGATCCGCCGCAAAAACATGGCAAAAAAATGCATATGCGGTATTTCCGCATTTTTGCTGTGCTTTTTGAGCATTTTTTTTTATAGGACACGTGAATTAAAAACCACCAAAAACACTTCTCAGAGGCGTTTTTCAGGCGCTTTTCAGGCACTTTCCATTGATTTCAATGGGAAGAGATGTTTTTAGGGTGGTTTTATTTAACTGAACAAATGCATGCTCCAAAGATGCTGCAAACAGGAGTTTTTACACCGCAACGGAAGCACAACGCCTCAGTGTGAAAACATACATAGACATAAACAGACAAACATAGGGAAGAATTTTTCTTGAGCTTTTCAGGTGCTTTTTTTTAATGCAGAAACGCTTCAAAACCTCCTCAGTGTGAAGGTAACCTAGTAAACAAGGCTTAGTCCTCTTTAATGGCAACATTGCTTGCTTGTGTTTTGGGGCTTGTGATGTTCTCAACATGCCTACTATTTAAGGTGCAGGGGCGGACTGATCATTTGGAAACTCGGGCACTGCCCGAGGGCCCGGGGTCAGTAGGGGGCCCCATGAGATGCCCCTGGTACCTTTTTCATAGGCTTTTTTGAGTTTGGGCAAGGACACAGGGGCCCCATGATCCCCTATTGCCCGGGGGACCCATGAGTTGTCAGTCCGCCCCGTTAATGTGCAAAATGTTTTCTATTGTGACACAAACAATAATTAGGACAAAAAAGCTGAAAATTTGAGTGTGCATAAGTACTTACCCAGTTGAATAAGAAACCCCTAAAATAGATGACGTCAAACTAACAACTAATAGAAGTCCCATAATTAATGATTTATGTACGGCCTGCCTGCGTGCAATCAAGTGTCCCATGATGTCAGTATAAATGCAATACATCTGTTCTTAAAAGCCCCTGAGTCTGCAACACCTCAAATGAGATAAGTAGTGTTGGTGTACAGCAATCTTGAAGTAATTTCACAGATTCTCAATTGGATTGAGGTCTGAGTTTTGACTAGGCTATTCCCATGTTCCCCTCTAAACCAATCGGGCATAGCTTTAGCAGTATGTTTAAGGTCATTGTCTTGCAGGAAGGTGAACCTCAGTCCCAGTCTCAACTGGCTGACTGAAATAGGAATTCTTGTATTGCCTTGTATTCAGTGCCATCAATCCTGACCAGTGTTTCAGTACGTGCCAAGGTAAAATACAAGTGAAAAACAAATAGCTGTCCATCCACCCAGAAGTCTTGTAAGCTGATACAGTTGACAGTTATTAGTTGTTGACATCCTTGTTGCCATCTCTGTGGGCAACAAAACACCAGCCCCTGTTATGGGGAACACAGGGAGATGTTATATAGTCCTGTTAATGTTATGTAGTCCTAACACACTTCCTATCCAAACGAGACAACACTACTCAGTACAGCTGTCACCCTAGGACCGGAAGTGAGTTAAAGGCAGGATTGCCAGGTTAAAATAGAGGAAAAAAAGCATGGACAAAGACAAGTAATGCCACTACCACAGCTAAGAACCACTAAGCTGCAATACTATCAATTCTCATTCTTGGGTTTAGATAATCCTTAATAGTGCTCAGTGTGATGTTCAAAGTTTGGGATTTTTTTATACCCCAACTCTGATCTATATTGCTCCAGAACTTTTCTCTGACCAATTTGGAGAGCTCCTTGGTCTACATGTTGCTTGCTTAACGGTGCTGCAGACTTAGGGGCCTTTCAGAACAGGTGTATTGTATATATACTGACATCATGTGACACTTTGATTGCACACAGGTTGACATTATGTAATCCTGTAATTATGGGACTTATGAAGTTAATGGTTTGCTCACATCTTATTTGGGGGTTTCATAGCAAAGAGGGTGGATACTTACTCAAGATTTCTGTTTTTGTCTTGATTGTTTGTGTCACAATAGAAAATATTTTGAACCTTAAAAGTCCCAAAAATCCATTTTCCTTCCAGGCTGTAATGCAACAAAACAAGAAAAATACCAAATAAGTGAATACTTTTGCAAGGCACTGTTTATCACCCTTTATTCTTCACAGTGCACTATTTTCTGGTAGTTTTTTACATATCTAGCACCTGGAACACAGATCAGTAAGCACTGCGGAGCTGTGTTATCCATCTGCTGGTTCACATGGCCCTGCCAGCACTGACTACCCACTTACTACTGTATGAGCGGAGAAAGGTTGCTAGCAGCAAGCACTAAAGATCTTTGTGATTCATCTACTAGCTGCCAATAAACCTTCCTCTCACTTACAATAGTAAACAACCATACACCTTGTAGGACTGTGTGAGTCAGCAAAAGGATCACACAGCCCATGCTGACTGTTAGTAAACCTTCCCGACACTTACAGTAGCAAACGCTATAAAATGAACTTCTTAGTGGATCACAGCACAATGGATGAGAATGCCATTTTTAT